ATCAATATCCATGTTTCCTAAACATTCACGTTCCAAAACTTTGTTTTAGCTCATGAACTAAAAGTCCTTATGAGGACTATATGAACCATACAATTACTACAACCAAACAATTACTACATACAGAAATTAATTACAATAGACAAGCAATGAAACATAGAAAGAATTAGCAGTGGGAGCCTTAAACAAAGTAATCACCACCCACGATTGCTGTCCTGACCATCAAGAGTTAAAAAGTATTCTGAAAAGACAAGCCCAGGAACAAAAATGACAGGGCAGAAAAAACATGGATATAATGGAGACATTGGTTTTACAATACACTGACATTTTCCATACACATACTACCTCATGGCCAAAGGAAATGGGTAACTGCTGTTCTCTGTTCTGTATAAGACCGGTATTACCTCTCTCCTTGCAAGTTTCATCCACTGTTGCAGATGCCAGGTACCCTTTTTTTCCTTCAAATTGTTTAACTGATTTATGTAGCAAAGTTAAATTCAGAGCAATTTCTTCCTGTCTACCCTTAGCATGAAGTTTGCTCTCTCTGTGCCAGATCTGAAGAAGAGTTTGTATCTGACTATCACAGTCTGAGTAAAAAGATTACCTCTCCTTGCAAGCCATCCCTTTCTTAAAAATTTAGGGCACTTAAATTTATTAGAAATACCTAAAAATGTAGGTATAGACAATCAGCTCAAATATTTCACAATTAGTAAGTACATTGACGCAGTCAGTCCTGACTTCAGATTGCTATGTGCTTTTTTCCTAAAGCCTGCTCCAATCTCATAAAAAGTACGTTTCTTTGCAGATCTGAGTGACTCCTATTCCACCCAATTCACTGTAGTGCATGTGCATTTGGGTTTCTCCCACTGCTAAAACCAAAAGCTGATGGCTGTGAAGCACTCTGCAAATCTGTCTCCTTTTTGTGTATTTGAAACGTGCGACTGGATTTGAAAGTCTGGTCCCATTTCTTATTATCAGTCCTCAGAAGAATCCATTCTACTACTTTCTCTGCGGCCGCTCAAGTATTTTGTTTCATTAGTGGAAAACAAAAGCAGGATTCAAGACTGTAGTTTTGATTGCTTTCATATAATAAAATAAGTTAGTACAATGGATTTAAATGGAAGTAGAATTATATATGAAAATTTTTTATTATGCCAGAAAATTTCAATTAGGGGAAATTAGCCACTTGGTTCTTTCTGATAAATTAATCATAGAGATTATCTATTAAACGTGCCACTTAACCTTTCTGGCATAAGTGCCTGAGGCAGTAGTATTTAGGCTCTCCACATTCATTTAGAAATATTAATTTCTATGCAGCTGTCTTCCAAAATGGAATTTTCACTTGTCTTTTTTATAAGTAGGTCATTGTGCAGCTGTTGTTAATAGAGGCTGGCATTTGTAAAATGGTAAATCAACCATTGTACCCTGTCGGTCACAAAATTTATCTTCATCAATTACAGAATATCTTTTCCTAAAATGCCCTTTCTCAGCCCCAAAGGGTGTCATCCCTCGCTATGATAGCCTTTGGCCTTTTTGGAATGGGAATGCGTTTCAGCCAGTTATTTTGCAAGAGCTGAAGCACCACTATGTTCACACTATCTGTCTTCCAGTAGTTTAAGGTTCTGCCTTGACTCTACATTATCACTTCCATCTACATTAGAGCTGCCTTAAAATTAATCTTGACGGAAATTGGTATGACAGCTATCAGCTGTCAAAGAAACAGCTGTTTCAACTGCTGAACCTCCCAGGTCCAAATCCTCCTTCTACCCTCTACAATGAAATCAATTGGTCTTTTCAATGTAGGCAAGGCCTTACTGTCCCTGTAGTGGTCAGCTTATGGAGACACAAGCAACGCCTGGAACAGCTACAAACCTTATCCTGTGGTCTTTAAAGACTAGAATTAGGACCTTGGCCTGGATATCTTTCTCCTATGTTATAAAATTTGCATAGTCTGCTGCAGGAATAGTTTGAACTCTGGAACTCCCTGAGGTGTGTATACCCTGTATCCTAGGGAAAGAAGAGAGGAAGTAACAAAGTGCTGGCACCAAAGGAGGAGGTCTAAGAAAAGAAAATATGCATGGCAGATAATTTATAAACTTTAAGGTTAATGAAATGAGAGAGGACATCTCAAAATCTTAGAATAAAGTGTTACAAAAGAAAGTAAATTAAATTTACAGTATGTGAGCAGCAAGCACATTAGTTATGGGTAACAAAATCCACATTTTAGAAAGTGGAATTGGTAGCAAGGCAGTGATGTTACAGTCACAGTTTGTCCGTACTGTGAACTAGAATTAATACATTATTGATTATCTTATTGATTACCTGAGCCTATACATTCTTGCACAGATACAATTAAGTATGAGAAGAATGCTTGCAGATTTGGGATGTGAAGCCAACAAAATCCTACTGACTTTGGGTTTGGGTTGGATAAACTTGAGGATCTTCAAGGTTTAAGATCTGGAGGATTTGGAGACAATTCAAATAGCACAAGGACTATGATAAAAAAAGACAGAGAAGGGGAAACAAAATTGAAGAGAGCTGTGTTGAAACTTGGACTGAGGTACAGTTGGGCTTTTGTGCTGCATAAGGCCAGGGGATTCAAATTTTGTATGAAAAGGGAAAGAACCATTGCAAGATTCACGACTGCTACATGATCAGAGCAGTAAGAAGCTACAGAGCTATACTGTGGTTTGGCAGTTTGGAAAGGAAGTGCAAAAGTGAGGTGGCCAGAAAACAGAACTATAGTAATGAATGAGGATTTAAGAAAGGAGTCATCGAAAGACATTTCACCAGGTCATGTAACAAGAGGCAGTGAAATCCTGAACATGAAGAGAGTAAAACCTCAGCTATCGCCCAAGTTTTACAGTGAAAAGCAGCACAGGGGAATTGCCAATTTTGAAATAATAAAAGCAGAAAAGTAGAAGCAAAATTGAGACATCATCACCATTTATGAAAACAAGAGGATAGCTGGGAGGACCTGCAAGAGAAGTGAATGTGAATTTGTATACATGGCAGACTTTTGGTTTGAAACTAATTAGTAGAAAGAGGTGAAGGTGCTCTGAGAACAATGACTACTGCTGACAGAAGGAGAGAAACTCAGGAAAAACGTATGCGGGGGATCCCTGGATTTGGTAGGGATGTGGTAAGACCACTTTAATGATATTCCATTTGTCCTGATTTGAGAAAAATCAGACAGGTGACTCAGGAGCATTTCATGGCTATCAAATACTATCAGTAAGGTTAACATTTTTGAAAGGGTATTTGTTCTCTTGCTATGACTAATAGCAGGTATTAAGCCAAAGAACTTTACATCCTGGGTTATAGCATGACTATGAACCGGAGTCTAGGATTACTGAGGGTTTTATCCTAAGGGCCTTGAAAAGGAAGGAAAACGTGTAAAGTTTACATGGCAGCATGCACGATGACCTAAGTGGCTTCTTAAAAGACTTACTGGGCACTTGTGTGCTTCTTTGTGGAATCAACTCCATAGTCAAATTGTTACATGTCATTTCATTTTCCGTCCTTACATGAAGGTATGCAGGGAACGACATGAACTGATGGATGGTCAGGTAGATTCAGGCAGCATGAGAGAAGCAGCTTTGCCTTGGAGAAATTGCCCAAACCTGATTGGCAGGGATGAGAGTGGCCTCAAAAAATGTTAAAAAAGAAAAAAAGGAAAAAAAAAAAGAAAACACATCAAGTGATTAAGATTTGTTTTGCTGAAGAAAAAGGCTTTGGCCTATTAAACAGTGTTTTTAAGTCTGAAAAAGCAAACCTTAGAAACAAGCAAGCGTGAGGTAAGGAAAGCCCTTTTTTAGACAGTCTGTTATCACTACACTAGAGGTACACATTTGCTAATGTAATTAAGGATCAATTAAGAAAGTATTTTTGTTTCGCAGCAAGGAGAAGATGCTGATTCTGCTGCTTAAGACTTGGGCTGCGATTTTAGTGATCCGAGTCAAGTTCATGCTCTGTGACTCTGACTTTATGACCCAGATCCATAAAGGGGCTTAGGTGCTTAAAATCTGACTTCACGGGGATTTATTCCCCTAAGCCGTGGAGTGCAGCCTCTGGAACTTGACATACTCCTTTACGTGCCCGTGTTTAAACAACATGCTGCTTTATGCCTAGAACAGCCCTTTTTTGTTTTTTTGCCCTGCAGGGTGGTGCAGCTGCTCACCTGCCTGCCCCGGCCTGCCTTCGGAGCGATCGCGCCACTGCCCGGGAGCGGGCCCGGCGGCGCAGCGCGGGCCTCCAGCCCCACCGCTGCCGCTCCGGCCTGTAAGCTCCTTACGTAATGGCCGGGGGCGACGCCGAGGTTCTGAGGGCGCAAACCAGAGCAGCTGAACGCGGCCTGCGGGGGCCGTCCGAAGCAGCGAGTAGATGATGGTGGCAAAAAGGGTGGGCACCCCTTGGGGGGGATTTCGAGGTCTAGCGCAGGTTTCAGGGTGGCCCTGATGCCAGGCTGGGGGTCGGAGCCGCACCCCTACGCTGAGGCCTCCCGCCGGCACCACAGAGCCAGCCGCGCTTCCCTCACCGCGCTCCCCCCGCCCTTCGCACCCCTCAGCTGGGCTGCGCCACGCAGGACCAAGGCCGTGGGGCCGGCCCAGCACAAGAATAACCCCGAGAAGAGGCGTTATTTTT